ACTCCCCTTCCCCCCTCTTCTCTCCACCCTTCCAATCTTTCTTACCTCCTTTTCCTCCTTACCTCTGTCTTCTTAAATTGTCTTTCCTTACTTCCAAACGTCCATCTCTTTTTTTTCTTCTTCCTGACGCACTGCGACCGTTATATTGACGAGGTCCAGTCGCAGCGTCGGGTTAAGACGTATATGACTTAAAGGACCGAAAGGTCTTAGCCCGCTCTTACTCCCGACCTACACTACTCTTGTTTACTTCTACATCCCATCATCTCTACCTCCAGGGTTGACCTAGAGGCTGCAACCTAATAGGTGCATTACACCGGATTACCTTGCAAACTCTTCGCAAGATCTTTTGCTCGTAGGGTTGAGAGATATTGCATTTTGGTGAGGTTATTGCCGATAGTGATGACACGGCCGTATGGAGTGAAGTCCTTTACGGTGAAGCGTTTCCAACCGTCAGACAGCTGTTTGTCTGTGGAAGTGAGAAAACGGACGATCAGGGACGTATGGGGCTCGCGCCCGGTTCAGCGCAGGGACTGGATCTGGAAAGTCTTTGTTTCCTTCTCAGAACGGCGCATACCGTCACTAAGAAGCAATTAGCGCCGATATGGTGGCGTCCCGATCCCAATGCGAGTATCAGATGCGATGACGTAGGTTTCTTTACCTTGCAAACGCATCGCTAGATCTTTTGCTCACGGAGCTGAGGGGTATTGCATTTTGGTGAGGTCACTGTCGATAGTGATGAGATGGTCGTGTGGAGTGAAGTCCTTTGCGATGAAGCGTTTCCAGCCGTCAAACAGCTGTTTGTCTGTGGGAGTGAGGAAATGGACGATCAGGAACGTATGGGGCTCGCGCCCGGCTCAGTGCAAGGACTGGATCTGGAGAGCCTTTATTTTAGCGGGCATTATTACTTTGACAGTGGTAGCGCCGTCGTTCTCACGCGTCTCCGTTCGGCATTTACTGAAATTGAAGCCGAAAATACGCACGCTGAATGAGCGGGCAATACGCTCGTTGACTTCAATGCGTTGCGAATTCTCGGTTATACGG